TGAGTATGGTATTTGGCAGAAAAACTTTCTCACGGTAGTCGCTAAAGGACCGCGGCCCCTCGAATAACCCTGTTTTCACAGAGCTGGCTGTGTCTAGCAGCTTGGCTCTTTCTCCTGTCTTTTGATTTTTGTCTATCTGATGGGCAAGAATTATTCTTTGAGTTGCACTGCTCTCCTCGGAGAATGAGAATTAGGGAAACGTTTTTGTTTGCTTTGCGTTGGGGAACAGGTTTCTCGATTGGCTTTTCCATCTGGACGGTGATCCTCCTGTCCTTTCCATATTGCTGCCGGAGCGTTACAGTGAAAACTGTTTCGTGCCTACAGTCGTTTGCGACGCTGATCTGTTGGGGATTTATTGGCTGGAGTAGTAGCAAAGGCACAGTTTGGCAAATGAGTTGAGACTAATGGCGAGAGATGAGGGTTGTTTTTTTTTCAGAGTTTAATCAGGAAGGAGATGGCAGGGTTGAACGCTGAAAGAGACTTTGTGTGGCTCAGTCTTTCAGATGGCTGCGTTTAATTCCCGCGTCGGAAAAAAAAAGTCCTGAATGCTCACCAGTACATGTGATTTTATACACACACACACGCCCAAATATATATATACATATTTCTGTGTGTATATATATACACTATTATATATGCATATATATGTGTGCAACTGACTGTGACTTTTTTCAGTGAGATAAGGCTGCTGGCTTGGGTCCTGCCGGCACTGCGAAGCAGCAAGGTCCCTGCGTAGAAGGCTGCTTTCTAACCATCATGAAGTTTCCCTAATTGGATTTGTTCGCATATGCTGTGGCTGATAAGCAGAAGGTTAATAAGAAAGAAAGTTGATTTTCTTAGTTGCCAAATTCCTTTTTTTAGTCAAATAATTTAGAGGAGAAGTACCGCCGAAGGCATAATTTTATTCCTGGTCTTAATGTAAAGAAAGGATTACTGTATTTTAAACACTTAGCCTTTCTGTCAGCAGCTTGGTTTAAATACAGTAATTCCAGTTGGTTCCCATCAGCTGAGGTTTTTTTAAGACTCCCCACCCCCTCCCCTCTATAAACTGCATCCCTCGTTTCTGTGTGTTGTACAAGGGGGAAATAAATAGCGATGCCACAGTTTAAAACAATTTTTTTTTTGCAATGCTGTTTCCGCCTAGGATCTCAAAGCACATGACAGCAGCAAAGAGCTCTCTGAGATGATGTATTTCTTTCTTTCTATCAGAGCAAAGATGTCAAGTGAGCATCCTCGTGTAGGCACGACCTGGTAGACTCATGCCAACCTCTGTTGCATACCCATCCTTAAAACTGATGGTGGGGATTTTTTTCCCCTCAAACCTTCGGCATCAAGAACTGGGTCAAAATTACTCTAATATTCTTCTGCAGAACGTGAGAAAAAAAAAAAAAAAAAAGCGCAGTGTACTGGAAGGGTAGGTAAGCTAACTTGCTTCTTTCTCTACCT